CTCCACGCAGAAAGATCCCGGGCGTCCTCACCGGGATGTGAACCGGCAACCTTCTAGCTGCTAATATCAATTAAATTCAGTCGAGTTTAAACTACTTCAGTTATGTTCACTTTACTTTAGTTTAATTCGGTTCAGGTTGGTTCAGTTCAATTCAAATAATCTCAGTTCAGTTCAGTTCAAACAAGTTCTCAGTTAAATTTAATTTACTTCACTTCACTTCCTTTGAATTCAATTAATTCCACTTTAATTCAGTTAAATTTAATTCAGTTCAGCTCAGTCTGATGGAGTCTACGTTAGCACAAGCTAACCCACAACTCTGTTACATATACATTTATTGTCTCACCGACTAATTTGCACTGATATTAATTCCTCTGTAAATAAGTAAATCACCGATAAGTGCAGTTCTTGATAACCCGTCTCAATGATTTTCTATTTGGCGGAGGAGATCATTGGCCACTTAGATTAATAAAATGCATGAAATTACTAACTGCAGTACATCATCAATTATATAAGATATGGGAATGAAAGTGTGGCCTTCACCTTTGAGCCTTTGCACCTTTCAATAAAGTCTATCAATGAAGACATATTTTCTCTTTTGTAACTCTATGACCAATAAAAATAGCACTTAATCCCAACATCACCCCACCACCGCCGAAAGCTACGTGTGTCTGTATGTGTGTGTTAATTATTAGTCTAAAGTCCAGTGTTTGAGGGAATAGAATAGAATAGAATGCCTTTATTGTCACTATACACATGTACAATGAGATTAAGAGCAGCTCCTTCAGTGCAACATAGAATAAAGAACAAAATAAAGAGCAAAAAAAAAGGCTGAGCAACAAATACAGAAAGACCAGGAGATGCTAAAACACAGGAGCACAAAGGGAAAATATATATATATATATACTCAGCAGAAATAATGAGGAGGAGGACAAAACGCAAAACAAACAACAAAACTTGATCTCCTCTTAGCCTAAAGCAGGAATCGAACAACAAAAAACAATCTAATTTTTATTTTTTAAAATTTCAAATAGTTAAAATTAGGTGAAAATTTCCATCTTCACTCAACAAATCCGATTGCATTTGAAAAAAGTCCCTCTAAAAATAACCAACATGCATTTCCCCTGTTAACGTGCCGTCACGTCTCTCCGTCCTCTGGTAGCAAAGAGACAGTTCAGGAGCAGAAGGGTGGTTAAACTGAATATGTTCGTCTGGTCTGTTCATTCTTTATCTGACTGAAATTTGTTAGAATCTTTGGCTTCAACCACGACTCTGAAATATCAGAACTGTGAAGCCGTGTATTGATAAATCCATCATGATGTCTGTGGTGTTGAAGCAGCAGACAGGTTTATAATTGCACTTTTCTCTCCCAATCCCTTCTGTCAGCTCAGATCTATAATGTTCTCTATGCTATATACCATAAATGCTCAATTTTACACAATATTGTACCCTATGTGCTCTACAGACTAGTGGCCCCTTCATGATAACAGTGACGATGCCATAATCAGCAGTTATGCCACTGAATAATCTCATAATAAATGTAATAGGATTCTCTCTGTACTTTTACACCTTTCTCCGTCACAACACTGAAACACTAGGAGATAAAATCTGTATAGCAAGACTTTTAATTTTTATTTATTTTTAGAAAAAATAATATAGTCTGAACAAGAACAAAGAAAATACAACCGGCTGCCAGTAGGTGTCTCTACAGGACAATTAAACTATTTTATGAGCAGGATGCTTCTCGGCTCAAAAAAAAGAAATCTTGTTAAAAAATAGAAGTTTGGCCTCATCTAATAATACAATATACTCCACTGTCCCCTAAAGGAGATTTTTCTTGGGCTAATGTTGTTGTATTTAGAAGATGTTTTACATGTAGAGAGGATGTAAATGTGGCCACAAACCACATACTAGTATTTATGCACATTCCAGTGCCATTAGTGAAGACTAACACAACGTATTGTAGCTAAGCAACAGGTTCCACATAATATTGCACATCTCAAACCATAAAGCAGGAATTTAAACGTGCTGCATAACTCAGTCTTGCACTTATTGTATGATGTCTGATGGACACGTTGTTGGTGAATCCTCTCCACATGTAGCCTGACTCGTTTCAAGATGGTGTTCATCTACTGTTGGCTATAAAGGCCCCGTATTGTCCCCATTTTCAGCAAAGTAATGAAAATCTCACATGTTTCCAGATTGTTTGTATTTTTAATATCATATTACTGCAAAGATCCATCCATCCATTATCTATACACCACTTAACCCTCACTAAGGTCATGGGGGGCTGGAGTCTATCCCAGCTGACTCAGGGTGAAGGCAGGTTCACCTGGACAGGTAACCAGTCCATCACAGGGCTACACTTAGAGACAGACAACCAAGCACACTCACATTCACACTTACGGACAATTTAGAATCACCAATTAACCTCAACATGTTTTTGTGAGGAAGGTGGAGAACCCGGAGAGAACCCACGCTGCACGGGGAGAACATGGAGACTCCATGCAGAAAGATCCCGGGCGTCCTCACCGGGACATGAACCGGCGACCTTCTTGCTACGAGGCTACTGCAAAGACTCTTCATTTTATTATGACTGTATAACCTCTGGTTTCAGGGCTGTTCCAAACAGCTGTTTCAGCATCTGTATCTTTAAATGCAGGTGAGTTGCTTCTGGCCACGCCCTCTTCAGGAAGAAGACGCTCACTGCAAAGGAGTCCACCACATGGCAGCCCACACATGTAAGTGTTTGACACCAGGGCTTTCTGTTGCTTTTTCATTTTCTCTCTGAGTGATCATTTTACGTGGAGCTGCAAGGTGGCTCGGTGGTTAGCACCTTTGAGTCGTCTCCCGGTGAGGACACCCGGGATCTTTCTGTGTGGAGTCTCCATGTTCTCCCCGTGCAGCGTGGGTTCTCTCCAGGTTCTCCGGCTTGCTCCCACACAGTCCAAATGAATTGGTGATTCTAAATTGTCCATAGGTGTGAATGTGAGTGTGCTTGGTTGTCTGTCTAAGTGTGCAACCTTCTTGCTGCGAGGCAACAGTGCTACCAACTGCGCCACCCTGCAGCCCTAAATAAAATATCTTTGCAGGAAAATGCACACACTGTATGTACTGTAGGTGTAGATGGCCACACATGGTTTGGGTCTTTGCATTAACAGAGAGGAGTCGAGGTTTCTATTAACTCAGGGAATGACTTGGTGCAAGTAGAAATCCAGCAGAAAACAAGAGTGATAATCAGTTTTATATTTCCTTTAACAACAAGCATCGTTTAAGCAATTTAAGATTTAACACTGAAAAATCAACTAAAAGTTTCTCTCCAGCTGCTAATTTAACCCCTAAAATCTTATTTCTGTGTATTAAAGTATTTAATTTGATTTACATGAGAACAATCTATTCCTGCCTTACACATGTTGACAGGGTAAAAACAACATATTTTAATGGTGGGGGTCTTTAATGCAACCCAACCAACAGTAGCCTCATCAAAAATGTGAAAAATGCTAATGAGAACCCTCTGTAATTAAGAGAGTAATTATGTAATTAAGTCCTGTAATTAAATGGCCTTGAGCAATCATCATGTAAAAAAAATGTGTACTCAATATGCAGCGATTCCTTCATTGAAGGCTTTTCTATTGAGCTGCATGAGGTGCACCTACTAATCTCTAAACTGTGTGCGCTGGGTGCTAATTTTCTTCACTCTTGTTGGATCTATACTTCTGTTCCAAGCACAGAAAACTCCACCTGCACCAGATTTCCTACGCCGGCAGCCTTTCGTCATTCCTCACCGCCTGCTGTGTGTCCCAACGCTTCTGGACCGCTTCGACCGAGTGAGTCTCTGCGTGCCGCTTTATCTATCATTATAATGACGACGTCCATGTCCAAGGTTATAGTGGTGTGTCCGTGCCAAGGCTGTGGGGGGGAAGAGAAACCATTAGAGGATCAGGTAAAATTAAAAATGATTCGTTTTTGTCAGGCATGGGTAAATGATTTTCAGTTACGGGGGTTTGTGGTGGGGAGGAGGGTAGAATTGCATTATTGGTTATATTTGCATGCAGATGTTTTATTTTTTGAGTTATATTGACCTTTGCCTCCTAGATAATATATGTTGATAAGTGTATGGTAAAATGATTAAGGTGTAAAACCCTCATTAGTTGTTAATTGAACCCATAAAAATTCCTTTCTGTGTTTCGAAGTTTGATATTTTGAAGGTTTGTCTTCAATGAAAGGAACCTCTTTGAGCCCTAAAATGGTTTGAC